TATACGAGTCCGACTATACACACACACTCAAGAAAGAAAGATTACCGACAGTCCTTTTCAGGAATCTCCAATCCTCCCCTTCTCTCACATGGTGCAACTAGTCCAGTAGACGGTACCATATACTACGTACATGACCTGGAAAAGTTGATAAGTATAAGGTTTTTTTGTTGATTCGTGTACTAGATGGATTTGAAGGTAAATTCAGCTTGGTTGCCATCTTGGCAACCTTGGGCAATTTTCTCTGTGAGCCTAATTAGCATAATCATCGAATTAGCATATTTGCAATATGTGCAATATGTAATACGTTGCTAATCGTAATCCGGGAAGCCTAAAACATGGATATTACCACTTTTCAAGGGTTTTTTAGGACGAGGAATTCATTTATGACACCCGTTCTAATCTGTTAAGTAATGCATTATTGTCTTAAATAGCATACTTAGCATAATGAGCTAATTAGAATATGTACAATATATGGACTTCATTCTCATGAACGTGAAAAGGGGGGCAATGCAACATCGAAAGTCACTTTTTAAAGACAACACATTAATTCATGAGAAGATATTCGATGTAGATACAGTACAATTAGCCTAGTTAACATAATTAGTAAATTTGTATAATTTGCATTTATTGATATAGGCCTAGTTTTATCCAGAAAAAATTGGAATGACAATTTTAATGTCAATTTTGTTATGACAACCAATAATCATCTCAGAGGTTAATCACGTTGAACGAAAAATGATTAGCCTCAATAGCATAATTAACCTAATTAGCATATTAATCAGGCAATTGCTAATGGACTAGTGAGTTTGTGTCTGACAAGACAGAAAACATAGGTATTCATTTGTTATTTCCCACTGTAACAGTGATGAGAGCAGAAAAAACAGTCATGACAGAGGCCGTGAAATGTTAGTCTGCAAGCACAAACCCTGGTCAGTCGTAGAAGTGAGTCTGCACTATAAGACTACCATAGACCATGTACTGTAGCTGCTCCTGACACACAACCAGTAGGTAGCTGGGCTAGACTTCTCTCAAGGCACAATGATTTTTTTGATTAAGTGTGTCAAATTAGGGTCTGTGCCTGCAGACTAGAGAAATGTCGTGCCAGAGCCTGTTTGGAGCACTGGACGGCACTTGTATAGCGACACGATAACAAAAAAGACTATGACATTCTTCATGTCCATAGATGCCATCATTCTGACTGTCAATGATTGTTCGCTCTTCAATGACCGGGGAAAAAGTATATAATATTTGTAAAGCGCTTAGAGACATTTCTATTAAGACATTGCTATATAAAAATTAAAAATTATTATTATTATTATTATTATTATTATTATCATTCATAGTCAAATGTTGAGGGGAGGGCAGAAAGTTGCCTCTTATCGTTCATACTATTCATGATCGCTTCTCTCTTAACCCGTTGACTACTGAATTGTATATGTCACATAGGCTGAACACAGGGACCACCAGGTTCCCGTAAGAAAAGGGTTAAATCTGTCCCCAATACTTAAACTCAAAGAAGAAAAGAACAACATTCTAAATATATTTGCCACCATAACCATCTTTCAGTCGTACCAAACCTTTTCTCTCTATCTTTAATAACTGACTGGTCTCTGTCATGACTGTTAATTCTGCTCTTATCACCGTTACAGTGAGAAATTAAAAATGAATACCTAGTTTGGATATACCTACAGAAATCCACAAGTTCATCAGGCAATTGCCTGATTAATATGCCAATTAGGTTCATTATGCTAGTTAGGCTAATTATTTTTCGTTCAACGTGATTAACCTCTGAGATAAATATGGGTTGTCATTAAAAAAAATCACATTAAAATTGTCATTCCATTTTTTTCTGGATAAAACTAGACCTATATCAATAAATGCTAATATGCAAATTTACTAATTATGTTAACTAGGCTAATTTTTCTACATCTTCATGGAATATCTTCTCATGAATTAATGTGTTGTCTTCAAAAAGTGATTTACAATGTTGCATTGCACCATTTTCAGGCTATTTAGATCAAAAGAATGAAGTCCATATATTGTACATATTCTAATTACCTCATTATGCTAGTTATGCTATTTAAGACAATTGCATTACTTAAAAATTAGAACCGGTGTCATAAATGAATTCCTCGTCGTAAAAACACCCTTGAAAAGTGGTATTAGCCATATTTTAGGCTTTCCGGATTAACATTAGCATCATAATGACATATTGCACATATGCGAATTTGATGATTATGCTAATAGGGCTAATAAAGAAAATTGCCCAAGGTTGCCAAGATGGCAACCAGGCTGAATTTACCTCCAAATCGATCTAGAACACGAATCAACAAAAAAAAACTTGTACTTAACAACTTGTCCGGGTCTGAACATTTTCTACCGGACTAAACCGTAAGCCTACTGTACAGTGCGACAAAAGACTTAATTCCGTTTCGTTGACAATCAGCCATGCATGAAGTATTTCGTCTATGGCTGATCGTTGACGAAACGGAGTTAATTGTTGTCAATTTTGTTTGTTGCTACGGCAGACAGCAAGTGTAAAACGAATTTGTTTAATGGAATTATGGACATGCATGCAAGCATTACTTTAAACAAACGGAACTTTGTTATTTCTGGCTCATTTTTCCTGATTGAGGTGTCATATTAAGGAGAAGGAAATGAACTTTCTATTGTCCGCCAAATGACTTTTTGGTTTCCTTTCTTCAAATTGCTTTCAATCACTCATGCTTAAACTATGCATCGTATGAGTTGCAGTAAATGAAAGGGGAGGTTCTAAGCTTTACAAATAGGCTATGTGTCATTTATCAATTATAATTGTGATTAAGTTATAATAAAACATCGATAATTCTCTGTTCCGTTTTTTCTAGGATATACTCTATGTCTACATCACCATGCGAGCCGATAATTATAACCAGCATCTAGGACTAATTTTGTAAGGGATGTTCTTTGCATCTAATTATAATAACATCATCCAAATTGTTTCATTCAAACATCACATAGGCATCACTTTGGCGCAAGTCGGTTTTTGCACTCTCTTAGATAACGTATCCTGTTCATACAAGCGTGACAACAAACCACCTGAAAATGATATTAAATGATTTGGGATCAAACACTCTTTCATAAGATGTATAATAATTTACTATTCATAAAATGATTTCTAAAATGATTAGTATTTTTCTAGGTGTAAACTTTTTTTTTGACTCACACTGTATATGCAAATTATTTCAATGTATTTCTGTTGCACGCACAATGAATTTAGAGCCCCCTATAGTCCCCCCCCCCCCCCCCCCATAGTCAGAAGGAAGACTTACTGGTCAGAGTGATCTTGAATTTCAAGTTCAAGTTTCAAGTTTATTTGTTTCACATTTCACACCAAAAAAAAGAATTCACATAATTGACAAAATTAGAACATAATACGAAATATATTAAAAGTTTCACATCATATAATTAATTCTTTGAAAAGACTTCGAAATTAATTGTAATGAATAGAAGGTTATACAGAGTGAAATGTGAGGAACCTATTAAAAAGCTCAGCTTGTAGATTATAGGTTACTATAAATAAAACTAACATTTGGTTGAAGTGGTTGTAATGGTAGAGGACGTAACAGTGATAATAGGTGGGCAGGAAGGCCTTGACATAAGATGACATACAACGTGAAAACAAGCAAAAATAGCAAAAAAAGCAAAATAATATGTTACCAAACAAATTCATGAGACGATAGTCACTTTAAAATATTGAGGTCATTAAACGAGGTCATTGAACGAGGTCACCCGAGCGAGGCAGTAGACATGAACGATCATATTACAGTAATTGAATTGAATTGAATTGAATTTATTCACCACTGTCATAAAAACATATAAAGGCAAAGAATACAATAGTTTCTTGCAAACATAGATGAACCACTAAAATGGAAAATAGACTAAAGGAAATTACGAAGTGGTTGGATCATCAAAAAAGTTACAAAAACTTATAAGTAGATGATCCTAAAAATGTACACAAAAAAAGGGGGGGACAAAGAAAATACAATAATACAATGGTAATTACACACATAAAAATTGCGTTTGTCAAATTCAAATTTGCTGTATCAGGTGAAGTTTTAAATGATGCTTAAAACTATTTAAAGATGCACACTGTTTAAGTTTAGGGGGTAGTTTGTTCCAAATAGTGGGTCCTTGGCATGAAAAGATACTAATTGAAAATGAAAAATGACCATATATTACACGAGTGTCTGCTGAAGTTCTGGTATTATATCTATGAATATCGTTATTGCTCTGAAATATATTACAAACAATTTCTGGTAATAGGTTATGATAATATGAATACATAAAAACACAGAGTTGAAAATCATGTAATAATGATATTGGGAGAATATTCAGTTTCAAGAAAAGAGGTCTGCTTGGACTTAAAAATTGCTTGTGGCAAATTATACGAATGTAATGTATACAATAATGTAGGCCATAGCCCAGACACAATCCTGCTTCCAACATGCATTCAAACCCATGCACGTCTGCTCCCAGACAGCTAGGGGGAACACCCTTGCAAATGAATAAGTTTCGAATGAATATAAAGTAGAGGTGTTGTGGTCGAGAGGAAAAGGTCACAAGGTCCGCGGTTCGAGTCCCCGGGGGGGGGGGGGGGGGTAGTGAGCACATTTTTTTTTTTTTGATCCTCAAAAAAATTTCAAGTTGCACCCCCAAAAAAGGTATATAGATAGATGAATAGAGAGAGAGAGAGAGAGGAGAAAGAGAGAGAGGGGGAGAGAGAGAGAGAGAGAGAGAGAAGAAAGAGAGAGAGGGAGAGAGAGAGAGTGAGAGAGAGAGAGAGTGAGAGAGAGAGAGTGAGAGAGAGAAAGAGAGAGAGAGAGAGAGCATGAAAGATATTACAGCTGACCATTTAAGCTCAGTACGAGATTTGTACACCAGACCGCGGCCTGTACTTATAACGCATATTACAAAGGGCGCACGTACGTGTCAGCGTGCGGTCCGCGTCATAAGGAAGTTCAATGTTATTCGCTGTATGGAAATAATATTCGCCATTAGAATAGACGCCTTCAGTCTCTCTTCATCCCTCGTTCTCTGATCGTTCTTCATCATACTTGCAAGGCTGCACTGCTTCTCTCTAAGATGAACCGTCTTAGTATTTTCGGTATACATGTGGACTACGTTATGGTGCTCAGTTTTTTGTTTCCCGTGTCAAGAAAATGGCGGATTTCGAGTTGTGAGTGCTTGTGAATTCGTCTGAAGATTCTGATTCGACACTGCGAAGAACAGTATGTACACTGTAGTATGTCTTTCCGTAATGTTCATTTGTCTCAAATATCATTTTATGCAGAAGCTGTAATCACTGGCGTACGTACTGGTGGGGGGGGGGGCTTGGGGGCGCCATCCCCCCCCCCCAAATAAATTTGAACCATGACTTATTTTCACAAATTAATGTTTGTGATATCACATGATTTTCAACAAAATGCTAGTTTCTCCATTATTTCTTGCAGACTGACCCATTCCCAAATAGCCAGGGAGAGCATACATGTTTTTTATAGTCACTCAGGGCCTTTATGCCCACTAACAGTAACACTAGTCAAGAAATCCTTTCCAGAACTGAGCTACTGTTTAAAGCGCTGCCGGGAGATAACATGCTACCCACCACTCGGGCTGAGCATGCACAGGTTTGCGAACGAGCGTTCCATACTTACATATGTAACACTGCACATATCGTTAAGGGGCCCAGTGGGGGAATTGAATTCAGACAAGATTAAGAGTAGAGAACGGTACAACGAATCGTCTCCTTTCTCTAATAATTTAATGAAACGCGAAAATGATTTCAGACAAGGATTAAGAGTAATAATTAAATGAAACGACAAAGCTTCCGCGGGAGGGGGGGGGGGGGGGGACTGAATTCAAACAAAGACACCATAAAACAAATCGTCTTCTTTCTCTAATAATTTAATGAAACTTGTAAGCTTTCGCGTTTCGCGCGGGATGGGTGAAAATGAATTCAGACAAGGATTAATAGTAATAAATTATTGAAACGTCAAAGCTTCCGCATTTCGCACGGGAGGAGGAGGGGGACTAAATTCAGACAAGGGTTAAGAGTAATAATTTATTGAAACATCAAAGCTTCCGCATTTCGCACGGGAGGAGGAGGGGGACTGAATCCAGACAAGGATTAAAAGTCGAGAACGGTTCAGCGGTACAATGAATCGTCTTCTTTCTCTATAAATTTAATGAAACGTGAAAGCTTCCGCGCTTCGCGCAAGATGGGCGAAAATGAATTCAGACAGGATTTAAGAGTAATAATTTATTGAAACGTCAAAGCTTCCGCATTTCGCACGGGAGGAGGGGGGGGGGGGACTCAATTCAGACAAGGATTAAGAGTCGAGACCGGTACAATGAATTGTCTTCTTTCTCTAAAAATTAAATGAAACGTCATAGCGGGTGGGGAAAAAACTGAATTCAGACAAGAACACGATACAACGAATCCTCTTCTTTCTCTAATAATTTAATGAAACGTGAAAGCTTCAGCGCTTCGCGCGGTATGGGCGAAAATGAATTCAATCAAGGATTAAGAGCATTAACTTATTGAAACTTCAACGTCAAAGCGGGAGGGGGAACTGAATTCACATAAGGATTAGAGTGGGGACCGGTACAATGAATCGTCTTCTTTCTTCGCGCGGGAGGGGGAAAACTGAAAAATAACTTAGTTCCTGACCCCGGGTTATAGGGTTAAATTTGTCAACATTTGGACATTGGCATTTTTATATTTTGTCGGAAATTGGTGGCTCGTTTTGTCGGTGATCGTGGCCTCTACACCCTCCCCGCCTATTCCCCCACTGAAAAAGATCTAGCGATGCCCCTGATAACGACACGGTTTATTCACTCGAGGAAGTACTACTGGTGAAGTACCGTCTTTGTGCATTGCGTGGCATCAAAGCATAATTTATACAACGTCTCACGACGTCACATATCACTTTTCTCTAACTTCTAACCAATCAGAAGGCCTCTTTTTTCCAGGAAGTGCCGGTGGACATCAACGCGCCAAATGTGGTTCTCAAATTGCAAAAGCTTCTTACTGCGGGAGGGGGTTAGACCCACCCCCTGCTTGGTCGCTACGCTCCCTCGGTGTTAAAGCCTCGTTCTGTCGCTTCATCGTTTGACATATATTTCACCCCAGCCATTTTGTGCCCCCCCCCCCCCGGTAAGAAATCCCTGGATCCGCCACTGATGCTCATACCCCTTGAGCTTCGGGGGCTCCGCATCTAGACCCACTTTGAGAAACGTTCAGCGGGGCCTGCATGTTAGAGTGGGGTGATTCGGATTTTTTTTTGTCAGCCCCCCCCCCCACGTTTTTGCTCATTACGCCACTGGCTGTAATCTCTCTCTTCTCGATCCCCTCCCCTCAAATTTCTTTCCCCCCCCCCCCCCTCTCTCTCTCTCTCTCTTCCTATAAAGTATCGAAGCTGTGACATCAGACGAGATTATTGTTTGAATTTCTCAATTTGAACTTCATTTTCCGAAAGAGCATAGAAAATAATGTCCAAAATTGAAAAACAATTGAATATGTGACGTATTGGCCGAGATATATGACCATCCGAATAAAATCACTGTTATGTTGTTTTAGTTCGTAATGTTATGGACCAAAGAGAAATAACAGTGATTTCCTATCTGATTGAAATAAATCAATTTGGATGGTCATATCTCGGCCAATATTTAACATATTCAATTTTTTTTCTTCAAAATGTTGACATTATTTGTTATGCTCTTTCGGAAAATGAAGTTTAAATTTGGAAACTCTAAAATATTTTGCTGATGACGTCATATTTTACCACTCTAAACAGTGCGTATATTTATTTTTTAAAAAGGTAACACTCAGCGGTCGTAGGATTTCGGTAAACTGCCAATACCAATTGGATGGATTAAAATAAAAACATCCATGTTTTATCTAAGACGGTTCCCATAAAACACCAACAATTTTTCTGAGTATAAATTGTAGAACATGGGATGGCCACTGAAATTGTGCAGTTTCGTGGGGGGCCAATGCAACCACGTTACTTGGCATGAAACTATGTTTAAAAATATACAGAAGCGTATTTAAACATGTTGCCAACCTTCAAACTTGCTCCCGACCTTAAGATAAAATATTGTTATAATTTTGGGGAATTCTTTAATAAGAAAATGGGGGATTTTAAGACTCTAGGGTATAATCGGGAGCGCCAGGAGGGTCAAATCTGACTGACATGAGCGCTATACAAGAACCCACTATTATTATTATTATTATTATTATTATTATTATTATTATTATTATTATTATTATTATTATTATTATTATAGATTTAGGCTAGCCTAAATCAATGCTCACGCAAGGCACAAACACATACAATTACACTCTCTGCGAGAAAAGATTTATCGAACAATGATATTAAAGTAACTGATGTTTATTCAAAAGAAACATGAAGGTGGTATCCGATATATTAACTTGCCACAACCTAATTATATAGTTACATTTATTCATATTTATACTGGTTCTTGCCCTTTTTGGCTTTATAAACGCCCGAGCAACATCTTCCCAGCTCCTTCTAAGTACTTCAAAACTCAACTTTCAAAACTACCTCGGCCTCAGCTCCAAACTTTTAAACGCACCCAAAACCTTGCTCGCAATTAAAGCTAGTCTCCCAATTCAGACCTCCCTAGCAATCGGCCGAGCATCCAATTTCTGTAACACTGCTCCCTCCTTAACTTTGAACGCCTCGTTCAACACTAGGTACTTCAAAACAGGAACCTGTCAGTAAAACAATAAAGATAACAAGAAACGTAGAATCCTGAATCTAACAACATCATTACAAGTGTGAAACACAGAACAGGAAAACCTGAAAGAAATCACCATAATTTCTAAAGTAGCATGATAGCATGATACATTTATTTATAAACATACCTAAATTACCTTTGTTTCAGCCTCACAAACAATTCTTAGGTTGTGGCGAATGCAAAGATAAAAGTATTTACATAATAAGACAACTGCATGCGGCATATACGCCTGACATGATATCATTGATCGTATATTTACAATATCAATACAACAAACTGGACTTCAACTTTCAGTATACCAGAACAAAATACATCATACATGAAATATACATTTTTGCTCCATAACAGTCTGGTCAACATGTTAAGCCTGTTGCACACGTAAGTAATAATCACTATTTAAAAAATAAAAAAAAACACTTTTTTTCTTCTTTTAAAGGGATCGTTTAACAATGTTAAATCTGATATACACGGCCCTACGTGTTGTCAGTGTCTGTGATATGGTGTAATATTGAAGCCCTAAAAAAATTGCGCTTCAAAATGATCAAGAAGTGCCTGAAAAAAGTAAAAATCATTGAGTGACCGGTTTTACCATACTCGTTTTTCCCAATAGACTGTAGTGTTATGAAAACCGTCAGGCGAACGGTTTTCAAAATTTATAATTCCAATCATAAATATCTTGATAATCAGACAGGCGATCGGCTTGTAAAAGTCATGGGGTTCCTGACTGACCTAGAGGTTTATAATTATCATTGCATCATGAGCTAAATCCAGAATTTTGTTTCAGAATCTGAGACAAAGTTACCGGATCCCTTCAATATCGCCTTTAAATATGGCAAAAATGAAAGATTATTCTGGTATAACCATAATATTCTGGCATTTGTTCTCTTTTGAATTTCTCTTTGGTAACAATAAATGGCATATCCCGGTTTATTTTAAACTGGTTTGGTCGGAAAAATTAGAGTTGCCAACAACATATAACTACAATCCTGGAAAGACATTACAATAGTCTGAATTTGTATGCCGAAAGCCAAAAAAAAAACGCTGATTTCAACTGTCCAAGTTAGTAAATCGTTCTTCTGTGATTACACTTAACGTGAGGACGTCACTTCAGTTTTCTCAGTCTCTCTGCTCTCTTTGATAAATTGTATTAACGTGATTCATACAAGTCCTTCTTTATAAGAACAATTAACAATATTTGTGTTTCTTTTCACAAGTTCAATATCGAGGAATGCTAATAACACCAAAATGTTGGTCCCTCAGTTCTATGTTCGACTGGTCCATTCGTAAAGTTCAGCAGCACAATGGAATAAGTGTCTGACTCCTTAAGTTCATTTGCGTCTCCAAAGTTGCTTCAGCTAAATGACGTCCTGTCACCAATTATTTGTTCCTCTAATCAATGAAATAGATGAAATTCCACTTATAGTCCATGCAAGCGTTCACTATAAAAGCTTTCAAATTTTGATGGATTTCGTAAGGCTGCATAAAATTGCATGGCATTATCAAAATTGTTCACCGTTATAAACACGATCCGCGTTGCCATGGAGACCAGATTCGCTCATCCAATACGAGTGAAGATACTTTGGGACGGCGTCCCGGCGTCTTGCGGTACTGGCATCTCGCGTCCTGGCTTGAAGCTTCCTCGGTAAGGTACCTCACTATAAGCTCGTCAGGCCTCAGCTACGTGATGGAGAAAATCTGCCATCCAATTCTGGCTTCCGAGTAGATATTTCCTGCAACAAAATAACATCTTTTGCAGAAAAAGGTGTATCAGAGTGGTACAACCATATATGCGTATATAAGGTATACACATGCAGAAAATTTGCTTTCATGTAAATAGCCGTAATAAGAGAAAATGCAACTAACTAGGTTGTGGCAATGTTATTTTAAAAAACTTATTGTAATGTCAATATACAAAAAATACATTCTGCCATTTTTGTTTTATAAGCAGTTACACAGCAACTTCACTGAAAACTTCCCACACAGAACTGTGCTGTATCCCTGCTGGAAACAGGTACTGAATTTCAAGCACTCTAGCTCTGCTAATGTGAAAAGAGCCAGCTAGTCGTAAGCATAACCATTAAACCTAACAAACAAGGAATTTAATGAAAACCAAGTCCTTAACCATAGCAATATCCTCGATTAAAAATAATAATCCATAACTATGTGTAAATGTAATCCAGTACAATTATAGACAATGTGATAATCGTGATACACAGCTGTCAAAGTTACCAGCTAATCCCAACCATATCTATTGGGAGACTTCCCTTGACGATGCTGATGCTCGTGACTGTTTTCTCTCGATGGTTCTTCATCGTCAGGTTGACACACTTGATTTTTCTCGCTGAGTTTGGGATGCTCCTGAGTACTAGTTTGTGTTGCTACAGCGATGAAAGAGCAGTTATCATCCCTTACATGGAACCAGGGCTCCTTCTGTCCCTTGTACTTGCAAAGACGGTCTCAGTGAACCACTCTTGGTTGACTCCTTTTCGTCAACTGGATCCTGTAGACTACATCGTTTATCTTCTATAGAACAGAATACGGGCCTTCCCAGTCTGACGTCAATTTAGGTGACACACCTTTCTTCCTTCGAGGATTATGCAGCCAAACTTGGCCTCCCTCTTTGAAAGCATGAGTGTTTGCTCTGATGTCATACCTTGTTTTGAGGTTTTCACCTGAGATGGTAAGATGCTCTCTGGCATGCTCATGGATTGAGTGCAATTTCTCTTCCAGCTGTTCGGAATACTTAGTGTACTTCTACTCTTTTCCTCTTCATCACCTGGTGGGTGACCATGAATTAAGTCCAGTGGTACCTTTATCTCCCTACCAAATATCAATCTTGAGGGGCTATAACTAGTGGACTCATGGATTGCTGTCCTGTATGCCATGGATAGCAATGGCAAGTGGTCGTCCCAGTCTGTCTGGTGATCATTTACATAGAGGGTCAACTGGTTTTACAGCGTCCGGTTGTATCTTTCTACCATCCCATTTGAAGCTGGATGTAATGGCGTTGTTCTGGTCTTGTCCACCCCTAGGATGGTGCACATCTGTCGAAAAACTGCAGCTTTAAAGTTACGACCCTGGTCAGAATGCATTTGTAATGGCACTCCAAAACGCGCCACCACCTCCTTCACAAATACGTTTGCGACAGTCACTGCTTCTTGGTTAGGTATGGCGTGAACTTCTGGCCACTTCGTGAAGTAATCCATCATTACCAAGACGTACTTGTTCCCTGCATCAGTTTCAGGCAAGGGACCCATCACATATATGGCCCATCTCTCCATGGGGCGTCCCACTTGGTACTTCTGTAACTTAGAACGAGCCTTCTTCGCTGGTCCTTTCCTTGATGAACACTTATCACAACTCTGACAGTGCATTTTAACATCCTCTCGATAGTGTAACCAGTAGTAACGTTCTCGAACACGTTCCAGAGTCTTATTCACTCCTAGGTGGCCTGCAGTGACATTATCGTGTAACTCTCTCATCACTTCTGACCGTAATGATGCCGGAAGTACACGCTGTAGCTTAAAGCTATCTCCTCTGGGTGATTCCCATTTGCGACATAACACCCCTGATATCACCTGAAGGCTTTCCCATTGGGCCCAGTAGGCTTTTACTTGCAGTCCATGGTGAGATATATCAGCCCACTCTGGTTTATCTCCATAGCTCTCCTTCAGTTGGAGTACCTTTCCAATGATGTCATCCTTCAGCTGTTCATCACGGAATTTTTCATTACCTTTTTCAGCTGATGTCATCTTTGCTGCTCGACACTAGGTTGAATTCCCATCGGGGGACTTTGTTTCTGCTCTTGTACAGTAATGACAGTCGTCCTCTGAGCATGATCGTCGAGACATGGCGTCTGCATTGATATGCTGTCGACCAGCCCGGTGCTCTGTAACAAAGTCATATCCACCCAGTACTTGCATCCAACGGGCAAGCTGTCCCTCAGGCTGTCGAAAATTCATTAGCCATCTCAAAGATGCATGATCTGATCGAATGACAAAATGGCGACCATAAAGATAGTGATGAAAGTTTTTGACGGTTGCCACGACAGCAAGGAGCTCCTTCCTTGTAACACACTAGTTCCTCTCTGGACCTCTAAGAGTACGGCTGTAGTAGGCTATCACATGCTCCTTCCCATCCACCAATTGACTGAGCACACCCCCCGATTCCATCTTGGCTTGCATCGGTGTCAACAACAAATTGGTCATGGCAAGTAGGAAACTGAAGAATGGGAGCAGTCGTCAGCGCTTTCTTCAGCGTGAGAAAGGCTTCATCACAGCGTTCATCCCAACAAAATCGTCTGTTTTTCTGGGTCAATTCATGCAGTGGCTTGGCTACAGTAGCAAAGTCCTTAACAAAGCGCCTGTAATATATGCATAGCCCCAGAAAACTTCTGACCTCTTGCACATTCTGGGGGGTAGGCCAGTCTTGCACGGTCTGTGTCTTCACTGGGTCCGTCTTAACCCCTTCACCGCTGATGATGTGAACCAAATATGACACTTGATTCCAAAACAGCTCACATTTCTTTGGGTTCAACTTCAGTCCAGCAGCTTGTAACCGATCAAACACCAGATCCAGCCTCTCTAGTGTCGGCTTGAATGATGTGCCATGCACTACAATATCATCAAGATACACCATGCATGTACTCCATGGCAGTCCTGCTAGCACTAACTCCATGCGCCGCTCAAATGTTTGTGGTGCATTACACAATCCAAATGGCATGGTTTTGTACTGCCATAATCCAGTCCCTATGGAGAATGCAGTCTTCGGCCGGGCCTCTATATCCATGTCTACCTGCCAATATCCGGACTTCAAATCAAGGGTGCAGAACCACTGAGAGCCCGTCAGTGCATCTAAAATGTCGTTAATGCGAGAAAGGGGGTATGAATCTTTCTTTGTCACCTGATTCAAACGGCGATAATCCACGCAAAAAGCGTACTGCCATCTTTCTTCTTAACGAGTACAATAGGTGAACACCATTCTCCGGATGCTGGCTCAATCACTCATTGTGACTTCATCTCGTCAATAGCTCTGACAGCCTCCTCCCTCTTGGCTGGGGGTAATCGATACGGCCGCTGTCGACTAGGTTGAGCATCACCCGTCTCTATCTTGTGTGTAAGTATGTTTTTCCGTCCCAAATCCATTGACCCCTTGGAGAACAGGTCTTGTCGTCTCAGTAAAAACTCCCGCGTTCCTTCTTGTTGTCCCCCGGACAATCCTACGCTGCTCCTTTCAAACAGCGACTTCAAATCCGGAGCCAACTCTCTTTCGACATCTCCTGCCTCTCCAACATCCTTTTCCTCTTGAGGTGGAACATCAATGACAAAATCAACTCGATCACATTTACCAACACAGGTACCTTCTTGTAGGGTTTGTGTATGCCGATTCAAATTGGCTATTCGAACTGGTACACAAGGAGCCTCTAAATCTATAAGTGTCCTACCAACCATCACGCCTGTTGGGTTACTATGGTGACCCTCCACTGCACCCCATCTCAATCCTTTGTCAACACCAGACACTGTAGCTGAAATGACAACTTCACTGTTGGGAGGAATGGCCACAGTTTGGTAAACAATTACTCTATAGCTTCCGACATCAGCTTCAGTAGGACAGCTGTAGATGGGGACTTCTGTGTCTTCAATATATTTAGCTTCAAGTCGATGATGCATTGGTTTGCAGTCAGAAAATCCGCTCCAAGGATGCACTCGTCCAAGATGTCCGCAACGATGACATGATGACAGGCACTGCTATTCCCTATAAAAAATATGTAAGTCAGCAGCACCCCTCACCTTCGCTACTTCTCCTGTCACTGTCACTATCCTTCTCGGCTCTGGAACCAGTTGATGTTGTGGTGATTGATACTGGATCCCTTTCCATATGTATGTGCGTAATAGGGTCACCCCCGACCCAGTATCGATGAGTAGATTGCATTCATTTCCACCAACGTTCCCTCTGACAAAAAGTCCTCCTTGTTCTCCACCTAGGGATCTAATAATGACCCAAGGTCCTTCTGGTTCTCCACCTTGGGATCTAGTAATGACAGGAGCTTTGCCCTTTCTAGCCGTGTTCTGCTCCTCAAGCACGACTAGTTGGCGTTTCCCTCTTCCATCGTTGAGGCCTTTAGTTGATCCGAATTGTCTCTGCAGAATTTCTTCAGGTGACCTTGTCTCTTACAGAACCTGCAAGTAGCTTTTTCCTCTTTGCACTGGTGCGCAAAATGCCCCTTGCCCTCGCAATTAAAGCATGGTCCACGCACTCCCCTCGGCTGACCTCTCATGAAGTTGTCACCTCCTTTCCTATTTTCTAGGAGCTTTTCGAACGTCGACACTAATTTATCGAGTACACTACTGTCTACATCTGTCTTTACCTCTCTTACTCGAACCTCCTTGCTCCGTTGTCTGCTGGCCAAAACAAATGACTCTAACTCCAGAGCGAGCTTGTGGGCTTCCTGTTGTGTGTTGGCTTTGCTCTGTCTGAGACGGAGGCGCATATGTCATCCACCAAGGCATCTATGAATTGATCGATCGCCAGGGTTTCATGCATGACTGACGATGCCTCGGGGTAAGCCTGTCGCACCAGGCGCTCTATGTCACAGGCCACTTCCGGCAAGGCCTCATCTTTCGGCCTTTTCCTGTTTCTAAATTGTACCCTCGCTAGCTCTGTCTAGTGAGCCACACCAAACCTTGAGTTGAGTGCCATAACTAAGGCATCGTAGTCGGGACGCTTCTGGTGTGGAAGGCTTGCCAGTGTTGTAGCCGCCTGTCCGGAGAGGCTCGTTGCGAGATGTATTGCTCTCCTCTTCTTGTCCCAGCCATTTAACTCTGATACCATGGTAAACTGGGTAGAGTAGGCATCCCATGGTATCTTCCCATCATGTAATGGAAGATGGATTGATCTCTTCCTTCTGCATTGGATGATGGGGCGTGTGGCAGTAATTGGAGAAGGTTCCTGGGCCTGGGAGGCCACTTCAGAGGGCGACGAAGAAAGGAGCTCGGCTTGCTCAGACTGAACACTTGGTGATGGCATTGGGCTCTGGTCTCCAACTCTGGCTTCCAGCACCTGCAGACGGCTTTCAATACTCTACTGTGCTGTGGAAGATTGGTTGAGTCGCTCCAGAATTGCTGTCTGGTTACTGGCTGTACTTTCTGCATACTTCTCGAATGTTTGAAGGAGGGCGCCAACTCCTAGAGGACTCGACAGGTGTCCCCTCCCTCTTGTACGCGTACGTGACGAGATTGGTGAGCGATGCATGGTTGAGATTCGATAGCCACGACAACAACTGTGTATCACCCTCAAGCACTAATATTAATAACTTTAATGGGCTTATACTCTCTCTTTGTTTAAGAAAGTTATATCAAAGGGAACTATAAGGCTATATCCTAAATCACTACAAAATTTCACTTCAGGATCAGTATAGTTCAGACTTTTCCACAATAAAATGCAATGGAGAAGAAAATAATCTTACTTAAGTGACTTAAATGTGACTAAATTTACTCCCAAGTTATATTTTGACTACCCCTAACTAAAAGTAGCTAAACGGGTCTGCATTGCAAGACTAGCTGCATCTATCTACCAACTTTCCCTTTTTTTCAGATCAGTTGTACTACACACGCACAAAACGCGTGGCACACCGTATACACACAGAGCTACTAGTACTCCCGTTCACGTGCAGTTCTAACTTCTAGTTGTGTACAATGCCAATGCACGAACATTGACTTATCTTTACTGAGCATGGGGCTAGAAATCTATACAATCGAAATCAAATGTGACTTCCCTACATAACAATCCTTTAAAATTCCTCTTTTCAGATCCCACTTCTGACACCAGTGTTATAATTTTTGGGAATTCTTTAATAAGAAAATGGGGAATTTTAAGACTCTAGGGTATAGATTTAGGCTAGCCTAAATCAATGCTCACGCAAGGCTAGTCTGCAAGCACAAACCCTGGTCAGTCGTAAAAGTGAATCTGCACTATAAGACTACCATAGGCCATGTACTGTAGCTGCTCCGTCACAGGGTCTGTACAACAAGTGAGCCCTTAAAGGAAACCAAAACCCTCATACTAAGTTACTTATATTGTAAAGTTAAAGATATTTGAAAAATATCAGTGAAAATTTGAACAAAATCAGGCAAGGAATAAGGTAGTAAGAGCTTTTTTAAATTACTAGTCACTAGAGGGCGGTATTCAATTTGATGACATCATCTGTGAACAACTCTCCATGCCTTTTGTACATAAAATTTCACAATTTTTTTGTTTCCTTCGTATTTATTTGTGTTCTTGATCCGACTTCATAACATGTGAAGTAGAATATCATTTTGCATTTTATATCTTGCTTTCAGAGGAGTACATTATCTCAATCACAAGAAAGAAGGAAAAACATGAAATTTGATGTACAAAAGGCATGGAGAGTTGTTCACAGATGATGTCATCAAATTAAATACCGCCCTCTAGTGACTAGTAATTTAAAAAAGCTCTTAGGCCAAAAAACATAACACAGAATCAAGGCCAAATAACCCTCAGAGAGCCAATCCGAATCCTCAGAGAGCCAATCCGAACCCTCAGGCCCATACCCCACACACAGTACGAGAAAGAAAGGGACAGGAAGAAAGGGACAGGGCAATACCCAGATCTCATTCCCAGATCCCAATTCCAGTACGAAAAACAAAGAAGGAAACTGCAACCCAAACTCCAGTAAATATGACATCTATTGATTTGATTATGTTTATTCTGTTTGTGGTACGACAGTTGCCTCAGTCCAGTAATGATGATAAATTCTTGGAAGCGGTAGTTAGAGCAGGCAAAGAAATTTTGAAGGTAGACATTACCATGGAAATGGTAAAAAGTCGCCTCATATAACTAATAAGTCCATATCAGACCTATTGATTGTACAATGGAACGCACAAGGCTTGACGGCGCATGGCGCAAACTTTTTATCTTCCCTTATTGATAACAATTTGTTAGGTATTCACCCAGATATAATGTGCATCCAAGAAACTTGGTTTAACGATTTTAATGTTTTGTCTATACCCAATTACGTTTGTGTTTGTAAAAACAGGCCGGACGGCAGAAGAGGTGGTTTGGTGATGTATTTAAAAAACGACATCACTTTTCAGGCGATGGATACACCCAGGAACGCCGAATACCAAAAAGTTGATATTTTTTGTAAAAACGGAGTTATCTCAATCTTCAACTATTATAATCCGTGTAAAAAGATTGAACTGATAGATCTAAATAACATGATAAGAAATGTGCCGGGGAAGTATTTGATTCTAGGCGACTTTAATAGTCACAATCCTCTATGGGGGAGCAACAAATTAGACACAAACGGTAGAACTGTGGAGTCTTTTATAGAAAATAATGATTTGGTTTTATTAAATGATGGATCTCCTACAAGGTTAGACCCATATTATGGTACATACTCAAATCTGGATTTGTCCTTAGTATCGAAAGAATTAGCACGTAATACAGAGTGGAAAGTACTATCCAATAATTTTGGCAGTGATCATAATCTGGTTTGCTTAAATTTTAAACATGTGTACAATAGACCAGGGGGTGAGAATATGGGACAGAGATGGTCTTTTAGAAAGGTTAATTGGGAAGAGTATAGAGAAGAAATTGAAGAGGCATTGAGAAAAGAAGGATATGAAAATCTTGGTGCAGAACTAAACATTCAAGGCAGATACAATGTGATTGTTAAGGTGATCAAGGAAACGTCGAACAAGTGCATTCCGCGTGTGCAGATTGCCAAGAGAAGAAAAGTAAATCCCTGGTGGAACAATGCCTGCAAGAAGGCGGTGCAAGAGAGAAATCGTCTTAAAAACAGGTTAAGAAGGTATTATGATCTAAATGATGTTAAGAAATACTTAAAGAAGAAAGCTGTCGCTCAGAAGGTAATCAGGAGAGCTCAATATGATTATTGGTTAGAGTACTGCCGTAGAATGAATAGATTTACAGACATTGGGAAAGTCTGGGAACAGGTTAAAAGAATGCGGGACAGTACAATGAACAAGCACATCTTTCACAATCTATTTGTAGACGGAAATATCTTGAAAGAATCTGAGGAAAAAGCAAATGCAATGGCAACCTATTTTAAATCGGTTGATGAATCACTTTCCGTAACTAAAAATGAAAACGAAAATATCTTGTACAATAATTCTTCAACAAATGATGATGATTGTATCAATGATGACTTTAACATGAGTGAAATGGGGAATGTTTTAAAGGAGATGAAAAACTCCTCATCCGGTAAGGATGATATTTATTTAATTATGATTAAGAATTTGCCGAACAAGGCACTCGTGTATTTATTAAACTTGTATAATGACATTTGGAAAATCTCACTTTTTCCACATCAGTGGTATGAGGTTATTCAAATACCAATCTTGAAATCCGGAAAAGATCAGACTCAAGTGACCTCTTATAGGCCGATTTCGCTGATATCAACATTCTCTAAAATTATGGAAAAAATGATAAAAAATCGCCTGACGTGGTTTCTAGAAAAAAACAGACTATTAAATCCTATTCAATCTGGCTTCCGCAAATATAGGAATGTCAAAGATCACTTAGTGAGATTGGAGACGGACATACATATATCCTTGAAAAGTAAAAAATATACCGTAGCGGTCTTTCTTGATTTAGAAAAAGCATATGATTCGCTATGGAAAACAGG